CTCGAAGAACGCCGCTCGCGAGGGCGCCGCCCGCGAGGCCGAACCGGCACAGAGCTCAGGACGCTCGTCGCGAATTTGTCGTCCAGGAGCCTGTCGGATTTCAGGCTGCAAGATCGGCGGGCTGCGACCAGCGACCAGCGTCGCAGGAATCTCAGCAGCCACATCTGGTCGACGGGGTATTATACTCGCTTGCCCGTGGGTCTGTGTTGGCCGAGTCTCATTCCCGTTCGTTTCGTTACTCATCCTGTTGATCTTCCTCCTCAGGTTGGTGGGACAAGACCATGTGCCGCAAACAGGTGGTGACCTCACCGATGCTCGCCAGGAGGATGTAGAATGGTTGGTACTGTTGTGCCGTACGGCGTGATATGGACAGGGCCTGGCGGAGAAGGACATCAGTGGTCTCGGCGAAGCGCGCCTCCGCGAATGTGTCGTGGACGCAATGCTCCGAGTGCCGCGGGACGATTTGCGCCCCCGAACCATGAGTCATGCCGGCGTTGGGTCGCAGGGCGCTTGGCTAATTGGCCTCCCCCGCACGTCATGCATGACAAGTTCCTTTACTGGGCTATGCCTGGGTGCCCGCACGCGCGCGTAGGGTCGCAGTGTGCTTGGGCCCCAAGCGACATCGAGAAGGCGGGCCCGTCTCACCCACGCAATCCTGTATTAATGTCCCTACCGCGTGGCCGATACGATGGGCCGAACAGAAACAAAATAATTGTGGAAATCGCAATGGCGACTGTGCTTCGCACGGGCAATGCGCACGGGCAACGCCCGCATCTTTCGCACCGGAAGCTTCTCCCGCTCTGGGGATGTCTCGATTCGCGCCGGCAGCTTCTGTCGCACGGGGAGGACACACAGCCAGTCACAACAACGGCGTCTGCGTTTTTCTTATTACGATTTAAATACATACATGTGTGGCGATCCACACCGGGCGACTAGCAGCCAACCAAGACCAATGAGGACCCCCCTCCCACCATCCCTGTCGAAAACAATGTGCAGTCAAATTTGGGGCAAAATCTTGGGTCATGATCGGGAGGGCCGCGAGTGCCTGCTGCGCGCAGGGCCAACATCACTGCCGAAAAACGAAACAAAATGCATCTCAAGGCAAAATCTTCACCATGCGCGGGTGCGCGGGCACTCTGGGATCAATGTTCATTGGTTTTTGATTGGGACGGCGAGGGTGCTGACATATTGCCCGCTATGTGCAGGCTCCCCATACACTATGATGGCCACCCCGCCGGGATTGCGCACTCGTTCTCGACAAGGGCGGTGGGGGCCGACACGTTTTCCGATTTGTACCGCCTCGTGCGCAGGCGCACCTGGCACGCTCTGCGCGTGCCCCGAACGTGGCGCACCTGGCGCGGCTGGAGAATGCGGCACACATGGTGCACGTGGATTACGTGGGGCATCTGGCGCACGAAGCTTGCCTGGCACGCTTGTCTTACAGGGGTACCTGGCGCACCTGACGCGCGTGCCGCCTGGTACGCGTGGTGCACCTCGCCTCAGCGTTGCACACATGTGATCTGTTTTTGTCCCCGTTGCTGCACATCAAAAGACGACCGCTGAACATGATGAGGCCCGGTCGGGAAGGCGGGTGGGAGTGAGCAAGTCAGCTTACCGGCGGGGAGGGTGCCGCGGGCACTTTGTATGGTTTGTTGACAGGCACGGCGGGGGTGTCAGCATATTGCCTCCTGTGCGCAGGGCCACCATCCCTGTCAAAAACAATACAAGATGCACCTCAAGGCAAAACTTGGATAATGCGCGGCCACCCCGTGATCACTGTCAAGCGGTTTTTGGTAGGGACGGAGGGGGTGGTGGCGCATGGTGAAGGCCCACCTGACACCATGATGGGCATTGGTGTTCGACAGGGATGGTGGGGGCCGACATGTTTCCCGATGTGTGTTGTCACGTGCGCAGGCGCACCTGATACACTCTGCGCGTGTGCCGAACGTGGTGCACCGGCGCGACTGTAGAATGCGGCACACCTGGCGCACGTGGAGCACGTAGCGCATCTGGCGCACCAGGCGTGCCTGGCAAGCTCGGGCCCCAGGGGTGCCTGGCGCGAGTGGTGCGCCTGGCACGCGTGCCGCACCTCGCCCCAACGTCCCGCATATAGGGTCGGTTTTGGTTCCCATTTGTTGTACATCCAAAGTCGACCGCTGAACATGCAGATGCTCGGGTGTTACTGATGTGTTGGGAGGGCGGGCAGGAGTAAGCTAGACGGCTTGCTATCTAGGAGGGTGTCTTGACCCCTCTCCTTACCCCCTGCCCCTGGAACTGGACGGGGCGTTTCGCGAGTCGCTGGGGCGTCCAATATGGCATCAGCGAAAAGGCCAAAGTCAATGATTTTACCACGGTTTGGGATCCATTTTGGCCTCGGGAGGGGGGGGGCGTAATCAAGTACCCCCCTTTGTTTGTTCGACCACATCCAAGATGGCCCCCAGATGGCCCGCGAGGCTCCCAAGAGTGCCCCAAGAGGCGCCCAGGAGGCCTCAAAGCACCCAAAATGCTTCCAGGATGCCCCCCAGAGGCCCCCTTATATACCCCGCAGAGGCCCCACGAAGCTCCCCCGAGGCACCCAAGACGCTTCAAGAAAACCCCAAGACCGCCAAGAGGTCCCCAAGACGCCCCAATCGGCCTACAGGACACTCTCAAATGGCGTCCGAAGAGACTCCGAGAAGCATCCAAGAGACATCTGGCCTTCCCTTCCTCCTCTTCCCCTTCCTGTTCCTCATCCGCCGGATCCTCATATTTCCTTCTCCCTCATCCATTCTCCCCCTCGTTCCTGATCAGGACAACTCGCCTCGACATCGTTTCTAGATGGACTGGTAGGTTTATTTTTTCGATCTGCGGCTCCAAGGACGATTCCAGAGAACGGGTCGTATCGAGCATGGGAAGGCACGCGAGATAATTGCCAGCGGGCCAAAAGCCAACGCCGGAATGCAATTGGCGAATGCACGCAGCGGCACGCTAGATAATTGCCAGCGGGCTTAAAGCCGACGCTGGAGTGCACGGGCGCCAGAGAGCGCGAAGATAAACACACAGACCGCGGCCCCAAGGACGGGCCCGGAGAGCGGGCCGGAACTACTTGCCAGCGGGCCAAAGCCAACGCCGGGGAGCACCGGTGCCAAAGACGGCGAAGCGAACTCGGGGGGCCAAACGAGATAATTACCAGCGGACCATGAGCCAACGCTGAGACGCAAGTGTGAACCGAGATAATTACCATCGGGCCAAAAGCCAACGCTGGATGCACATGCGAAGACCAAGAACCCTCACTCACGGAGCAATTGAGGCACATGGACAGCTGCACGTCACCAGTAGGTGAAGTACCACTGAACACGGCCATCAGACAAAATGCAGCGAGGGGGGCGTTTACCTTCCCGCCGACAGCACCACGTAGAGGTGAGCCCGGGCGGGCAAAGACCGGGTCCGAAAACTATGCCCGCGATGAAGCCGAAGTAAGCGTCTGCCAATGGGGGGGGCCACATCAGAGACGCGAAGGGACGGAGAGGTGGAACGATGGGGCGGGCCTTATGCCGACGTGCCCATGCGCTCGAACGCCCGGGCGGGCGAGGCGGGCACTGGTGGGTTTACGCGAAGGGTCTAGAATATGTGAGAAGGAGGCGACTACGAGGACGAGGCTGAGGACTGGAAGACGAGGTAGGAAGGAGCGAGGGAGGGGAAGAGATCGGGGATGATCCGGACGAGGTGCAGCAGCCAGACAGCGGCAGCGGCAGATGAGAATGAGGAAGCACAGCAGGTGAGGAACGAGGAGGAGGAGGAGGAGAAGGAGGAGGACGAGGAGGCGGAGGGAGAAGGCGACCGACCGCGCACCGTCGGTCCGACGGGCCTGCCCGTGCGAAGGCAACGCAGGCGGGCCGGGGCCCCAGGAGGCCAGCGAGAGCAGGATGGCATGTAGGAGATGGATGGTCAGCAACGGAAAGAAACCTAACCCTATGCGAGCGGACCTAAGTTAAGAGGCTCAAAGCACTAGGGATCGGGGGTCATTCCACCAGGGTGTCCACATTCAAACCACCCGCACTGATGACCCCTGATGCGAAGACGGGGGCCTCAGTTAGGTGACGTCTTCATTAGCTATTAGGGATGGGGCTTGTTATTTGCTCGAGGAGTGGAGGCGGAACGAGACCTGTCTGAGCGAGGCAGAAAGAATCAATATGCAAGCGCAGCAGGCAAAAGACAGTGGCGGAGGCTGATGAGCAGGCGGACCCGAAACTTCAACGTCGTGATTTTTTGCGGGCCCCAAACTCTGTGATACAGAACCGGAACCGTCATGAGTCCGCTTGGCCAGAGCGCTCGCCAACCAAGAATTCACCACTCTTTTCGATCGCACTCCCGCAAACGCAGGCGATCTATACATCTACCCCTACGGGAAGATCTTGTGATCCCAAACATGGAATCAATACCCCATTCTTCTCTGGCGGGTATTATGGTGGGTCCTAGTTTGAAGCTGTCGCGAACGAAATCCCCAACCTGACCGAAAACCTGCTTACCTCTGCAAGATGTGTTGCCCCCCCCGCTACCCTTTTGCCTCAGGATTACTGCATGTACCAGGCAGATGGGCGCGCGGCTGGGTCCAAAACCCCATTGTGACTAAATAAAGAAACATCCCACCGAAAGTCCGACAATCGACACGCGCATGATTTCTACGGTCTCTACATCATACAACACGGCCGGTCCGAACACGCGCGGAATGCGTTGCATGATGCGTTGGATTCGAGCGAACGCGGTACCTTTGCTTGGTTTCTGCATTTACCTGCATTGTCTAGTGTGTTTCGGAAATATCGAGCTCGGTTTTCCTGTCGCAATGTAGCCCCTGGAGGTCTGGACCCCTTCCTCGGGACAGGCTCTCCATCGTGAATCGCTTTTCGACGGTCCCGTGGCCCGGCGCAAACCTCCCCAAACCAAAACATTGCTAAACACCTTCCTTCTTCATGTGTTTCGCGACGCGAGCCTACTACGCGGAGGCGAGCTGCCGGCGACGCCTCGGCTTCCGCACAGCGGCGGGCGCAGTCTCTGCTGGCTTGGTTAACCTGCTGCCGCAAAGATTCGACCTGGCACGGGCGGCGGCAAGCCGGCGGCGGCGCCGCCACAGACGCCGCGCGGCAGGGCGCGGGGACCCGGGGAGGGTAACAACAATGGAGCACTAGAGCCACATGCAAATGAGTGACGACAGGAATTTCTTACGCACGATGACATCGTGACCTCGCGCCGCGGCTTACGCGGGCAGACTGCGTGGCACACCGCGCGGAGAAAAGATCATTCACGCGCGACAATGCGCAGAGCATCTAAGCGCTAATGTCGGTGCAAACGGCCCTGGGTGAAAATCGTTCTGGACGGTCCCTGGTTGGACAAAAGAAATGTCAGCATGATGCTGGTTTCGCTCCCGGACTCTTCCGTGGGCTGACCCCCTCCCTGCGCACCTCCGAAGAAAGAGGGAGCACGACTAGGGGAACGGCTCGCGGGGGGGGTGGTGGAAAATTGACCTGGAATCGGCGGTACAACGCCGACGGATCGGCCGGGACAAAATCGGATCTGGAAAAATCGGGAATCCTTGAGATCCGGCGGCTCGAGAAAGTTCAGGCGCCGCGGCGCCCTCGGGAACTCAATTTTTGACTACTCGCGATAACGCCAGTGACTGGTCCTCCCCCCTCCCCTCCCCGCCCCGCGGCCACGTCGCGATTCTCGCCAAGGCCGTCTGGAAATTAGCTACTCTGAAGCACCCTTAAACGGTGGCGGCGCGAATCATGACGTTACCGACGCCCCCCACATCCCACAGTCACGCCCGTTCTCGCCACAAAAATGCAAACATTGCCTCTTGATTGTGCCAAAACGCTCGGAGAAAGTTCTGTAGCGTCCAGGAGCGGACCCGGCCCTTGCGAGGAAGACCATCGGCGGCAGTGGCCGGCGCCCCGGCGGCTGTGGCGCAGCGGCCACGCGGCGGCGTCGACGTCGGGAGGCCGTGCCGCCGACCAGTTACATAGCCACGCAAACATTGGAAACAAACAGGCTAGGCAGGCCCCGCCTGGCCTGCCTCCTTGGCTGGCAGTCGAGCAAGCCCAAACTCCAACTTCTCGAGGAACTCGTAGCGCAGTTTTGCTCCGCAAAGTTCGGCCTCTGGGGGCTCTCGCGGGGCCTCAGGACTTCACGACGACCAGAGATGAAGAGCTGGCCCCAGCGAAAAGGTCCAGACCTCTGGGGACCGCGTGTAGAAAAACTAAAGACATCGAATGTCTGGGAAGGGCCGTGCCGTGTCGCAGGCCGGCGGCGGCGGACCTGTTTCGAGGGCGCTCCATGATGTTCCCTCATCAACTTGTCTGTACATGTTCTGTATTGGGCTCCTTTCCCAGACATCGGTGACTCGAAGGTCTCCCGTATGGTCTCCTGTATGGCTTCCTGGGGGGGGGGTCGCCCCTGGCTGCGGAATCGGTGGCCTGATGGCCGTATGGTCTCCCTTCTGGTGTCTCCCGTATGGTCTCCCTTTGTGGTGGTGCCTCTATTTGTGGTGCTCATCTTCTGGTGTCCCTAATGGTCTACCGTATCGTCTCCAGTACATTCTCCCACAAACACGGTAGAACAGACAGTACGTGCACGTAGGGGATCCCACTTGCGCTCCTGAAGTAATTGGACGAGTCCACCGAGAACTCTGTACGTTGCCACATCGTGCTGCCGCGTGGGTGCCCCGCGCTGGCATAGCTTAAACCACGTAGCTTGCACCACCAATTTGCATCACATAGCTTGCACCGTAAGCCTTGCACCGCATAGCTTTCACTCTGAATTCGTAGCATATATTATACGACATAGTTTGCAGCACGTATGCTGCACCACATAGTTGTCACATCCATGGCCTACACCGCATAGCCTCCACCTCCACACTGCGATCACTCACTGCTTGGGGCCCATGCTGGCCAGCATGCTCTGTTTACAACGTCCATCTGCGATTTGGAATACTCTGCCGCCGAATTGGATGCTCTCCCGCCTCGCACAACTCCTTCCCGCAGCCCGAGGCCGCCTCACTGTTCACGTTCCTACATGGTCTAAAAATCACAGCCTTTCCCTTTTTTAATCCGTGACCGCCCTCGTCTGTCTCGCACCTGCTTGTGCACTTTTCGTCTAGCAGCGCCCCGTTTAGACTGCGGATGTGGTGGGCGGTCGCCACAGCTTCGACTAAAACCGTTGTCGGATTCCCTAGGGTTCCTCTTGGTCTTGTTTCCTTACGGAAGGGGTTGCCCAGAATTCCTTGGCCTTGTTCCCTAACAGTGGCGCTCCTCGGGGTGGGTTGCTCGGTCTTGTGGCATTCCTCGGATTTGCTTGGTCTTGTTCCTTTACAATGGTGATTCTCGACCGGGCAATGCCAAGCAATGCGGAGAAATGCCAACCCACCCAAAGCAATGTCAAGCAATGCCCAGCAACGCCAACCAACGCCAAGCAATGCCAAACACTGCCTAAGAGAGCCAGGCAACGCCCAGCAATGCCAAGCAATGCGACGTAAGGCTAAGCAATGCCAAGCAAAGAAAGACTGGCAATGCCCAGAAAAGCTCAGTAATGCCAAGAAACGCCCAGTAATGGCAAGCACTGCCAAGCACGGCCAAGAACCAGCGAGCAATACCAAGCAATGCGCGGCAACACCCAACAATGCCAATCAACGCCAGGCAATGCTTACAGTGGCGCTCCTCGGGCTTGCTTGATCTTGATATTTAGTGGTGGTTCTTGGCCAGGTATTGCCACGCAACGCCCAGCAACGCTAAGCAACGCCAAGCAGTGATAAGTAACTCCAAGCAGCGCCAAGCAATTCCAAGCGGTGACAAGAAACGCCCAGCAACGCCAAGCAACGGCAGGCAACGACAACGCTAACCAACGCCAAGCAATGACAAGCAACCCAAGGCACCGCCAATCAAAACTGAGCAACACCAAGCACTGCCTAGCAGTGCCGAGCAAAGCTAACCAACGCACAACAATGACAACCAACGGCAATAAAACCCAACGCAAGGACAAGTAACGCCGAGCAATGCCAAACAACTCGCCCACGCAATGCGCAGCAACGCCAAACAATGCCCAGCAATGCCGAGCAACGCCCAGTAATGGCAAGCACTGGCAACCAATGCCAAGCAAGGCCAACCAGTGCCAAGCAAAGCAATTCAGTGCGATACCAAGAAAAACAATTCCATGCAAAACAATTCCGACCAATGCAGCTTGGGAAACGTTGCCCTTATTGGGGTCGAGCTGGGTTCGTTTGGATTTTCGTTGCACGACCCAGCGGGCAGGTGCTCAATAGGTCCAATGTCGGATTTATGGTGTGAGCCGTATACCAGCACATCGTCTTTGAACAAGCACCTAAACCCTAAGCGCAAAGATCACCCCAGAACAAATAACGTGCCGATTCTCTGCCACATCCCTGCGCTATGCTGCACGAAAATGGCGTTTAACTGCCGCTTCCCTGCGCGCTGTCGACGGATCCGTCAAATTTGAACATCTAGGTGGCACTGGCACTTTTGTTTCCAGGGCGTCCCAACCTGCACGGCGGGAAGTAGCTGTCAACCTAACCTTGGTCCTGGAAGTGATGCGGCCAAGGCTCGGCGGTCCCGCCGGCGGCGAAGAGATGGGAGAACGTCGAGGGGTGCAGGCCACTCGTCACGATAGAACGCAAGGACGCCTGGGAGGGCTTTGCCGCCTAATAATCAGGAACAAGGAGAAGTGACATCACCAGCACTAGCGCGAAGAATCAGGGGAGGACTTGCTGATGGTATGATCTCCCCTCCACGCTCGACACCCCCTTTATCTCCAACTCGAGAAGGCATCGTTGATCTCCTCGTTGGAGGTGGCACCCCTGGTGGTGGTTGATTTTCTGCACTGCCGTGTTTTTGTTGCTTGGTACGGTCAAGTAGGGTAAAATTGGCGAGTACGGAGACGGACAGGGCATCGAGGAATGCGAAAGAGGTCAGTTGATGTCGATTGGGGAAGAGGTCTCATTTTAGACACGCGGCGATCTGATTGCCTAAATTCTGGGGTGGTGTGCACAACCTTTCTTCTGCTGACATCAGACCTCGAGTACCGCGCCTTGGGGGGGAGGGGGACGGTCCATACTATTGGTATCATACAAATTGAAAGAATGCACCAACATAGAATCACCGCGGCCGTTCTGGTAACGAATAAACTTTTTGGGGCTCATCTGCCAACAACATCGCGGTGCACATTCCGCAATACAGGACACGACAGCTTAACAGCAATATTGCATGGCCGACTTGACGCAGATGAAGCTCGCATGTGCGATATACATGTGACACACACATACATCAAGCGCTGCCTCGTATGTGCGTCTTGTTGCTGAACGGGATTCGAGACGGCCGCGGCAAATCGTCAATACTCAAAGGGTGCCGCTTGTCACGCAATTCGCCCAGTGGCCGTCCGTAACGATCGTCAAAATACGCAATCCATTCGCCCAAAGTTCGCTTTCCTGCCTCATCCAAGTCATACGAGAAACGGTCCACCAGGCATTCCTCAAAAGACATGAGGGCCAAACTCAATGTACAATCATGGCCAGCCCATTGGTGGTAAGGGCCACCATGACCAAAGAGATCTGCAGCGACTGACACGTCGTAGACCCGTCCAAGTAGCGATGTAAAAATTGGGGCTCCGCCCGAGCCGCCAGTTTTGGAGCGTAACTCGGCAAGCGTGAAGGCGCGATCTTCAGGGACCAGCGGGATCGGAACCGGGTTATTATCCACACTTATATTATCACATCTTGCTGGAGTCTGGCAACAACATGCACTCCTGCTTTCCAGCCTAGGAGACACACGACAAATTACCAACTGCCAGGGGTGTACGAATGCACCCCGATTGGACGAACGTTCATCTCTCCTCCGAGGCAAACAACCTGTCGATGCCGTAATCAGCGGCGGCAATAAGCGGCGAGAAACCATGACTAGAGCGTGGATGTCGCCTTCTAGTACAATAGCCTTGAGCCGCCATGAATGGGACAGTCACGAACTCATGATGACGAGATAGACGGTGATGCTAACGTCGGCGATCGTGAGAACAATCAACATGCCGAATGCCAAGGACGATTGGCAAGTAGAAAGAGCATGGCTCTGTCGAGTGCGAGATTCTGCCAAACGGAATCAAACCTGGGGTTAAGATTTGGTGAGCGGGATGAGCCGCTCGGAGAAACCCAACCCCTGGATCATGGACATCCCTGGACCAGGCGACAAGGCGCAAGGCGCGAGGATGATTTTTGTCTCGGCGCGAGTATGTCAAGCGCGAGGATGACAGTCATTTTCGTCTCGGCGCGTCCCAGGGTCGAAAATTAATCCTGGACAGGTTCTGGGAAACGTTCTGGCCAGAAGTTCGAGGCTAATCCACCCGTGGCCCAGAAAAGAAGAATGTAACACATCTTCGAACCTCGAAGCTCGAGAAAGGTAGAATATTTCAAGACTCGAGAGGTTCAGGGCTTGCAGCCGCCGCCGTGACGAGGACGCCGCCGCCGTCGCTGCCATGTGAGGTGGAGCGATAGTGGGGGACCGGCTCAGAGGGAAAACATCGACCTGGAATCGAGGATACATCGCCGATAGATCGGCAATAAGCCCGCCTATCGCAGTGTGGGCTAGAAGGCCCGCCCCAGTCGGGGAGGAATAGGCCGTTGCAAACTGATGCATCCCCCGGAACCTGTCCCGCCCTGACGTTGCTCCTGGCCGTAACGACGTCGCCGACGTGGACTGATCTTCCGCGTCGTAACTTTGGGGCCATAACTCGGACCTCTGCGGCCGTTCTGGAGGATCCCAACACTCCCAAAACGCTCTCGACGAGGCGCAGCCGATGGGCACCACTCACTTCCAACAAACCCTACAAACTTCCTGACGCTGCCTCCGAGATCCTCCACCCTCGATGACCCCTCCGTCCTCAAAAGGGGCTATCGCAACGACGACGTCCGCCCGCAGCGGCCTCCAGCCGCAGCGCCTCCAGACGGGGCCCCACGCCCGCTGCGGCCGTAGCGGCGGACTGCGGCGCGGCGGCGAGCTCGGCCTACGGCCGCCGCCGATACCGGCGCCGGCGCCGGCGAGGTCGCCGTCGTCGCCGTCACCGTCGTCGTCGTCGTCGTCGTCGTCGTCGTCGTCGTCGTCGGGGTCGTCCGCCTGGGGCTACCACGTAGGCGCCAGGGCCTCCGCATCCCTGCTCGAAACAGAGAGGAAGGCGACGGCGACGGGGGAGGAGGGAGGAGTGACGGCGACGGGGGAGGAAGGGGCAGGAGACAGGATGGAGGCAGCAGGGGGGGGGGGGCTCTCCCTCCCCCCCTCTCCACTCTCCTCCTATCCAACCCGCTCGTCTCTCTTCCATCACCCCCCATCACCCTCTCCATCCCGCCTTCCATTCGTGCCCATATCCCCACCTCCCCTCCGTCCACAAATACACAGTATGAGTACTACTCTCCTCCCTCCCCTGATATCGTGCTGGTTTGAGATATTCAAATTTCTCGTACACTATGTAACGAGGGTCCACAATGCTGTTAGATATGGTTGTTCACTCCGACTCGTTTGTGCCTTTGGAGAGTGGTATTTTGGCTGGTGCGTTCGGCTCATATCGCCTCAAGGCCTCTGTCCAATGGAACGACGCTGTCGCCACAACGGTGACGCTGGCCACGTCCTGCTTCCGCATTTGTTTCGTGTCCCCCCTGGGGTGGTGTTTGCGTGCCGCGCTTTGCTGTGTGGATGAGAGCCGGGTGTCGGGACATGCCGCTGCGACTCAAAATTGTCCTAACTTCTTTCTTTGCGAATAGAACGAGTGTCCACGCAATGGCAACGGACGGGGGGGATCGGGCGCACGCTAACATAGATTGAGGGCGAAACGTGAAGCTAGTGCCGCCCGATTTCGCGGCGGAGCGCGCCGATGTGGCATGTAAACGGGACCCGTCGCTGACCCACGCGCCCTGGTCCACGTCTGCGTTTTTTCGACAGGATCTCGGATGTGGCGCGGGCGCACCAATTGCTTGCAAACGCCTCCTCTTGCCCTCAGCCCCGTCCTCTCTACGTCCCCCCCTTCGTCCGAATAGATCGGCAACACAATTGATTTACGCCAGAAACGGTCTTAACCCTCACGCGCTGGGATCTGGTTTGGGATACAACATTGTGGTCGCAACCATCTTTCCTTTCATTATTCCTCGTCCTCTTCCTCCTCTTCTTCCGCCTCCTCCTCTTTCTCCTCCTCCTCCTTTCCCACCTCTGCCTTGCATGCTCACCTGTGTCCTACGTGCCTTTCGCCTTGCCTCCTACTTGCTTGCCACCGCGCATCCTCGCCATCCCTGGGAGGTTGCGATCTGCGGAATTGTCGCCACGTTCGAGGGCTGCTGGGGGGTCCAACGGAGTGACGCCCCGCGCAAACCTTAATTACACGTTGCCATCCTCGGGGGGGGTGCGATCTGAGAAATTGCCGCCGCCACTTTAGAAGTCTGCTTGGGGGTCCAACGGAGTGACGCCCCACGCAAGCTTCAACTAGATTGCGTTGTTCTTGAGGGGTTGAGATTTGCATAATTGTCGTTCGTGTTAAAGATTGTTGGGGGATCCAGCGCCCCACGCAAACTTAAACTTGACCTCGCCATCCCCTGTGGGGTGTGGGAGATCTGCGTAACTGTCACCAACGTCGAAGGCTGACGGGGGGTCCAACGGTATGGACCCCCACGCAGACCTCAAGTGGACCTCGCCACCCCGGGGGGCTGCGATCTGCGAACGTGTCGCCAATTTCGAAAGCTGCTGGGGGGCTCAGCGGAGCGACGACCCACGCACACGCGACCTCGCCATCCCATGGGGGCTGCGATCTGCGAAGCGGTCGCCACGTTCGACGGTTGGCGCGGGGTCCGCGGAGTGACGCCCCAAGCAGACCACCATTAGACCTCGCCGTCCCTGGGGGAGGAGGTGCAATGTGCGAAACAATCGCCGCTTCCGAGGGCTGCTGGGGAGCCCGGCGGAGTGACACCCCGCGCAAGCCTCAATTCGACCTCGCTGCCCCCGGGGGCTGCGATCTGCGAAACAAGACGCACCATGCAAACCTGACGCAATACTCGCCATCCGTGGGGATATGCGATCTGCGAAACTGCCGCCATTTTCGGAGGCTGCTGGGGGGTCCAGCATAACGACGTCCTACGCGGCTTTAGATTCGCCTTGATGTCTTTCCCCGCGGGTCCTGAGACCCTGGCGGCGCGCGTGCGACGGTTTAGCTCCCGCACTGCCAGGTGCAGGACGGAAGCAGAGAACCTGGTGGGCGAGGTCGGCCTCGCTCGTGACTTGCACTGGCTATGAAGAGCTGATCTTTCGGAGCGACACAGCGAGACGGTGCGGGCCGCGCTGCTTGTCCATCGCGCCACTGGAAAATGACAGCCGCCCTCTTTCTTATTGTCCTGCCGTCAATATTGCCGTCCGCTTCCTACTTCAGCGTCTCACCGTTACCGCTTCGGTCCATCATCCGTCCTTTTCTGGCCCCCCGTTCCCGCGCCCATTTCCTCTTCGAGCCTGGGGCCTCAGTCATCGTCCTTTTTACCTGTCCTGTAAATCGCGCAGCGCGCTTATAGCTTGCACAACCAATGACAGATCCTTTTCTGTCATCAGCCAAACTATTCCGAACCAGTTCCTCTTGTCATTCAGTGCAAATGGGCTGGGTACGTCGCGGGGTATTTGTTGCTTGAACCTACAAGAAATATATTGTTCCTATATGTCCAACAAACATTTCACTTCTGGCATATATCAACTCTGTAATCGGCCTCCTACTCGATCCATCGTCGCCCCCGCTCCCCGAACGCAGCGGTGCCACATGGCCTGCTGCCTCTGCAAGGTGGCCGTGAGGCTGCGCATCTGGCCGGCTACCTGGGGGGGGGACAAGCAACATCCTTGGAAAAGCGCTCTGTCCGAGGGGCTGACTGGCAACAGCCGCGAGGAATTCTGGGCCCTGACTGGATTCGCCGTGCTTTGTTTTTTCCGATCCCCAATTGTGGGGAATGCACCCAAAACGATGCGAAACAATGGTGCGGAAACTTCAGCCGCGGAAAATACGGCGGCTAGTTCAGCAGAGGCATGGCGGAAATAGCGACTACAAAATAGCGCGGAAATCGGCATCCAAGGCGCTTGGAAAGTAGGAACATCTTTCCGCCCTGCTTGCGAAATCGCCCATAATACCCCGGATCCAGAGCAGGGGGCGCAGCGCAGCGGCCCTCCGCATGACTTGCCCCCGCAGCCCCGTGGCGTGTGCTGCGGAGCGCCACGGGATGCCCGACGGCGGGGAAGTGGCCACCCAAGGGAACGGCTGCTCTGCACGCTGGTCTTCGCCAGATTCAGTGCAAACCGCTCCTAGCCCTCCTCTCTGACAGGACTGCGAGGGAGGATCGAATCGATGATGACTACCGCCAGCCCACCTTTGCCTGCTCATGGATCTCTTCAGGAACTCCTAAAGATGCCTTAGGGGTCTCTTACGGGTATCTGGAGGAGCAACTAGAAATCTCTTAAGGATCTCCAAAGGAGCATTCAAGGACCTTAAGCTGATCATAGTCCGCCGACCCTTCGGCGTGTGGAAGACGCTGTCGTCGTCGTCGTCGTCAATCCCAAGGAATGAGGAACAAAGGCAAACATCGCCGTAGTTCAATCGAAAGGAAGCCCCTTCCAATCATCCCTTCCGTGCCTGGGGCGAATGCCGCACCCCCAGCGTCCCGGCGGCTCCCATGAGGGTCGCCAGCGGGTGTCCCAGGAGAGGACCCGCACTGTAAGGTCTTCGCAAGATGTACAAAAGTACATACGTAGCACCCCGCAATTGCGGATAAGAGTGAGGGGGCGGGCGCGGGCGACGCGGGCGTCGTCGAGCCGGCGGACCTCGTGGCCCCCACCTTCCTTGTCGATGGCGCTCTCCTCCTCCGCCTCCTCCTCCTCCTCCTCCTCCTCCTCATCCTGCTCCTCCTCCTCCTCCTCCTCCTCCTCGTCCTCGTCCTCCTCCTCCTCCTCCTCTTCCACCTCGGCCTCCTCCTCCTCCTCTTCTTCCTCTTCCTCCCTCTCCCCCCTCGTCCTTTCATCATCGTCCTCCCATTGTCGTCCTCCCCCTCATCGGCCTCCATCATCGTCCTCCCATTGTCGTCCATCATCATCATCATCATCATCATCATCATCATCATCATCATCATCATCATCATCATCATCATCATCATCATCATCATCATCATCATCATCATCATCATCATCATCATCATCATCATCATCATCATCCATCATCCTCCTCCCCCTCCTCGTCCTCCTGCTCCTCCTCCTTTTCTTTCTCCACATTCTCCTTACATCCTCTCTTCTTCCGCGTTCTCCTCGTCCCCTGTTTACTCCTCCTGCCTCCCCCTCCTTTCCCAAGATAACTGCAACGCAATCCTTTTTTCCACTTTATGCTCCCCGCCTTCTCTGATCAAGGCAACTCGCCAGGGCAAAGTTGCTGGACGGGCTGGTGTGGATGCGCGGGGCTTGAAGAGGTCCTTGCGGGCTCAGACGGCATGCAAAAATCCGCCGCCGCGCTTGTGCGGCATTGGTTTGTTCAGTGAACGTGGTTTGGGTCGCGGGTGGGTCGCGGGCTCTCCACCTCCACCTGGAAGGAATGCAAAAGCAGCCCGCCGCAGGCGCCAAAAAAAATGGTTTGTACACTGAACGTGGTTTGGGTCGCGGGTGGGCCGCGGGTTCTCCACCGGGAACGAATGCAAAAGATGCCCGCCGCAGGCGCCGAAAAATGTGGTTTGTACCCTGAACGTGGTCGCGGGTGGGCCGCGGGCTCTCCACCTGAAACGAATGCAAAAGATGCCCGCCGCAGGCGCCGAAAAATGTGATTTGTACCCTGAACGCGGTTTGGTCGCGAGTTGGTCACGGGGTGGGTCGCGGGCTCTCCACCTGGAAGGAATGCAAACAAAAACCCGCCGCAGGCGCCGAAAATTGTGGTTTGTACCTTGAACGTGGTTTGGGTCGAAGGTGGGTCGCGGGTGGGTCGCGGGGTGGGTCGCGGGTGGGTCGCGGGTGGGTCGCGGGTGGGTCACGGGTGGGTCGCGGGGTGGGTCGCGGGGGTCGCGGGGTGGGTCGCGGGTGGGTCGCGGGGTCGCGGGGTGGGTCGCGGGGTGGGTCGCGGGTGGGTCGCGGGTGGGTCGCGGGTGGGTCGCGGGTGGGTCGCGGGTTGGGTCGCAGGTGGGTCGCGGGGCGGGTTGCGGGTGGGACGACGACAACAACAACAACAAACAACAAACAACAACAACACAACAACAACAACAACAACAACAACAACAACAACAACAACAACAACAACAACAACAACAACAACAACAACAACGAGAATCCGCACCGCGGAATTCCACTTCAGCCACGCACCCAGGGACAGTGAATGACCGTTCGGCCCCCTCACTCGGACATACATACATGCATACAGACAGACATACATACATTCATACATACATACGTACACACGCAAATACATCCATATGCATGTAAGCATGCACAAACAAGCATACATACATACACACATCCATGCATACATGCATACAGACAGACATGCATACATACATACAAGCATACGTACATACAAATATACAAATCAAAACCAGGCGCGCGCTACGCACGCTCAGCTTCTAGTCAATTCCGAAGACCTCATCCCAATCCTCCTCCTCATAATCTATATCCTTATCCACTCTCATGGCAGGCAGGCGAAATCCCGGCATCGACGTCGTCGTCGTCGGGGTCGTCGCCACCGTCATGGTCGTGGTCGCGGGTGGGGAAAGGTGAAGGAGAGAGAGAAAGAGAGGGGGGGAAGCGAGGCAGGCAGGGAAAGACGGGAGCAAATGGGCAGGAGAGGCAAAATGGAGGGGACGGGAAATGGAGAGAGGGATTGGTCAACGGATGAATAAGGATTATTCCTCCCTCCTTTCCGTCCGATTATTGATGTTTCTCCTCCTCCTCCTCCTCCTCCTCCTCCTCCCCCTCGTTATCCTCCTCCTCCTCTTCATTATCCTCCTCCTCCTCCACCTCCACCTTTCCCTCTTCCTCCTCATCATCAGCAGCATCATCATCATCATCATCATCATCATCATCATCATCATCATCATCATCATCATCATCATCATCATAATCGTAGTGCATAATCATATGCATCATCATATGCATCATCATCCTCAGCACAATCATCCTCATCATCGTCAGCATCATCATCATCATCATCATCATCATCAGCATCAGCATCAGCATCCTCATCCTCATCCTCATCCTCATCCTCATCCTCATCCTCCTCATCACCATCATCATCATCATCATCAGCAGCATCATCATCATCATCATCATCATCATCATCATCATCATCATCATCAGCATCAGCATCAGCATCAGCATCAGCATCAGCATCAGCATCAGCATCATCATCATCATCATCATCATCATCATCATCATCATGTTCATCATCATCATCATCATGATAATCATCATCAGCACAATCGTCATCCCCCTTCTTATCCTCCTCCTCCTCCTCCTCCTCCTTCTCCTCCTCCTCCCCTCCTCGCCCTCCTCGTCCTCCGCCCCCTCCTCATCCTTATTATCATTACCTGCGTGCTCTGCCTCCGCATTCCTCTTCCCTTCCTCGCCCTCCTCTTCCTCTTTCGACTGACGGCGACAATCATGTTCCCGGCAGGCTTTCCGGGAACATGATTGTCGCGGCCAGTCGTCCCAAGTAACACTGCAAAACCTGCAGGGCGGCCAGATGAAATCATTCGAAAAAACCCTTGGGAAGAAAGGGGGTGAGGAGGTGGAACTTGGAAATGAAAGGGGGTTAATGTGAGGTAACAAAACAAAACCGGCTGGAGCTGGCAAGGCCAAATGGAAGAGCGTAAGGATGTGTGCGGGGGGGGGTACGACACAAACCGGAATGGGTTTCGGCCCATCCCGCCGCCGCCCCTGAATCGCGGGTCGAAGGCCTGTAGGATGTTCGGTGGGATGTTGACGGAAACCGCACGGCGGCATGTTGGGGGCCGTTTCTACGTCTCTGTCTTTGACCATTCTAAGCCGTCTGGGACGCCCCTGGGGGCCGCCTTGGAGCCCGCGCGGGCCGGCATCCTCATTGTTGTCGTCTGGTTCGTCTTCATTATTTGCCGAATGATTTGCCCCTTCTGCCGTTTTCCTGTCCTCCTCCTCCTCTTCCTCCTCCTCCTCCTCTTCGGTCTCCTCGTCGGGTTGGCAGCGACAGTTAGCGTGGGCTGTGTTAGGGACTTCGGTTCCCATGTTGCCCAAATGAGGCAACAAAACCCGAAGGACGGCCCAGCGGGGATATTTGGAAATCCCACCAGCCCTTTGGGCGTGAGTGGTTTAGAGAGCCCTCTCTGTCCTCAACCCCCCTTCTTCCCCTTCGGGGAGGGGTTTACCCCTCCCCCTACCCCCTCCCCCTGGACCTGGACAGGGAGTCCGGGGCGTAGTCAGGGGGGTCTTTTTTGACTCCTGGGAGGGCCAAAAAACGACGACCCTCACGAGGATTCTGGCCCCGTCGGGGGGATACAGTTTGGCCCCTCTGCTCGTCTTTGAAGCAGAAATCATTAATTTTACGATGGTTTTGGCACCATTTTGGCCTTCTGAGGGGGCCGCGCTCATCTTCCCTCATAGCAAAATCATTGATGTTACGAAGGTTTTGGGCTCATTTTGTCCTTCTCAGGGGGCAGCTCTCATTTGCGCTTCTGAGGAGGTCGCAAGAGGCCCCAAGATGGCCCCAAGAGGCCCACAGGAGGCCCCCAAGAGGCCCCCAAGAGGCCCCCCAGAGGCCCCCCAGAGGCCCCCACGACGCCCCAAGAGGCCTCCAAGAGGCCCCCAAGAGGCCA